AGAGGACAGCGTGTGCAGCTTTTTCACTGCATGCTGTTCTCCACCTAATCCGCTTTGCTCCGCAGCACAGAAACCACCCCGTTGCCCAGTTAGGAGTTAGCAGCGCCACGGAGCTCATAGCGACGCAGCATGACGTACTGTGCAGATGAGATCCAGGGCCAGGTGGATGGCTTCACACCCTACCATCAGAGGAAACTGCAAGTGGTGGTCACAGGGCCACAGTCAAGGTCCTGCTCAGCAGCACAGGAACCAGCCTGCCTGCAGAAGTGAAGCCTGCCCAGCTGGTGGGGAGCTGATGGCTCACCAGGAACTCAGTAGCTCTCGAAGTCTTGACTTTGAGAGCTGGGGCACTTGGATATTGTTTAAGAATGCTCTTTTCTTCCCTGCACTTGTAAAGTGGCAGCATCTTCACCCTTCTCTTTTGCCCCAGCCTCTCTACTGCACCACTAGAGCAGCCCTGTCAGAGGCATGCAATGCTCCGTCAGGCCGCTATTGCAGGTGTCCTCCATGGAAAGGTGGTACAGAAGCATCCCAGGATCCAGAGCAAGCTATCAGATCACAACACAGGCACTAACACATGAGGTGGCATTCTCATGAGGCAATGGTGGAGTCTGCAATTAATGAGTAAAGCCACTGCTAGGACACAACAGGGTGGTCTATAAGCACAGAGTACTTCTACAATACAGAGCAGCTATGTGAGATTATCAAGTGGAATGTGCTTATATTTTCTTTTAGAACTCTCTGATGAACTGCCGGAGGCAGAATGTAGGTACTGAGGATTGGCAAAGAGTGTTCTGGCTCTGGAAATGCTGCCATTAGCAGTTGTACAAGGGTAGCTATAACCTCTCATGAGAACACAAGTATTCATCATCTCCTGCTCTGCCAATCCTTACTCACTTTCTTGTTCACTATTTCTAGCACAAGCAGCACTGAGGAAAGCTCTTTTACAAACCTGTTTCAACATCTTGGCATCCCCTTTATGCTCTCTCCCCCTCATCTAACTGACCAGGAACAAAGGAGCTTCACAGGTGAGAAGCAAAAAGACCAGTAACTGCAGAGGAAATACCGTAAAGCAAGCATTCTGCATTGTGTGCAGTGACGTGGGGAAAGGACATGGGGAAAGGGCAAATGAACCAGGGAGCGGACACTTTCCTTGGGGACTTAACATTTTCAAACCTCACCTCTCCCAAAAGCCCAGTGGGTTCTGGCTCTTTTGCTCCCAGCCCTGCAAAAGCATCCTCTTGACAACTTACTATAAATATCCCAAAATAATTTTTCAGGACCATCAGCAAAAGTCTTGTTTGTCCATAAAGGGAGAAAAGTAATTCTGAGGAAGGGTTTTTGAGCTTTCCAAAAAGTTGTTAGAAAGTGAGTTACTCATTGCATTGCCTGTAACATTGCATGAAGCTTTCTCAAATCTTCTAAACATGATTGTTTCAGAGGTCATGCTAAAAATGGGTTAGGAAATATATAACTGCAGTGGAGCCCATACAACACAGTATGCCCAATAAATTAGACTAGCGTTGCTTGCAGGCATTGGGCTTTGCTGATTCTCATTCTCTGGTTAAATCAGGTTCAGGGCCTTCTCTCTGTGTAAGAGGTTAAGGAGAAAGTCAAACACCTCTCCTTCATGTCTGGAAAATTGTAAAAGCTTTAAAAAGAAAAATATACTTTACTGAGACTATTGAGAATGCAGACACACTGAGGTAGCGTAGAACCAGTAAGGTAAAATATTCTGCTGAAGGCTGTACCTTTCAAAAGAAAAAAAAAGGAGACATCTGTCATATTTTCACATATATATATATTCATATATATATATTCATGGCCAGGTTGGATGGGGCTTTGAGCAACCTGGTCTAGTGGAAAGTTCCCTGCCCATGGCAGGGGGTTGGAACTAGATGAGCTTTAAGGTCCCTTCCAACCAAAGCTATTCTGTGATTCTGATTTCTCCACTGAAACAACAGAAAGGTTGCATTATTTGGGAGAATTGATAAATCAAGGTTACTTTTGCACTCTTAAAGATAGAGAAAAGCACTGTGTTAAAATATAACACACAAACTAGAAAAAAAGCCTAAATTCACTTCAGAAGGCACATCTGGGTCTCAAAATAACTGATTTGCTATTGTCCAAGTTAATAATAATTTACCTATTATAAGTCTTCTCAACATATATGGCTTTAAAAGTTTAATTTAAAATAACCCACTTGTCTTTATCTATATACTTAAGAACTCACTCAACTTTTAGAGTAAGAAACAAAACAAACCGAGTCTCTTTACTTAAAATTTCCATGGGAAGAAGTACAAAAAAGTAGCTGTCAATCAGAAAGCTGAGCTTTACCTGGACATTTTTAGCAAATAGTTACAGAAAGGAGCTGTAACTTGGAAGTAGATAGAGGAGGTGGTTGGAAGGGCTGGGCTGTGGCAGACACCCTACCCTTCAGCTATCCGCCAGTAGCTGTCTGTTCAACCAGCGCAGCTCCACCTCAGGGTTATATTAACTGGACTCAAAGTAGTTGTCCCAAGATAGCTCAACTACACTTCACTGAAGATAAGGCACTCTTGTGGCTCGTCAGCTTCTTCAACATCATTACCCCAACATAAGTGTTGATTGATTAAACTGGATAGAACTAACATTAAGTATTTTAGGGGCACACCCTTTACTTTTAAATCTGACTCTTAACCTATGTGTCCAGAAGGCACATGGCTCTTGATGATTAACTGCAAGCTTTATTCCAGTTTATTAAAGTACAGCCTTAATTTATTCTAACATCTAAGGGAGCTTTGTTACTTTTGTAACAATGTAACAATGAGCACAGTATTTTTAATTTATGAAGCTCAGATTTTACTACTACAGTAGTTTTAAAGGAAAGGTATACCTATAATTAAGTGCATAAGTCTTTCAAATAAAGACTTTTGAATTAAATGAATCCTTTAAGTATAACGAAGTGTCTTTTAGATAGTTAATTCAAACCTTTAACAGATATTACAGTAAAAAGAATGAGACACTTCCAGTCGCTTGAGCAAGCACTGTGACACTGTGTATTACCCTTCTGTATATTTTTAAGTCAAACACCCATCTAGAACAAGAACAGTGAGTAATTTTGCCAAATATTTACAAAGTTTAGCCATTCACTCAGGTGAGGTCAAACATAATAGATAATGGCTAATTTTAAAACACAAACACCAGACACAACATGAGCTTCAAATTGTATATTCCCAGTCCATTAATGTAAACGTCAGTTCAAGACACATCTCAGAAGTCTCAGGTATGGAGGCACAACATAGCGATAGATTTTACTAAACTGTACCCACTTACGAAATCCCTAGCACATCCAACAAGCAGCAAGAGAGAAGCAAAGGAAGTCTGCTTTTTCTTTTTCCACCATCAAGCACAGTTGAGCTCTGTATGGATAAAACTGTGCCTTCTCATCTGCACTTTACAATCACTTTTTAGGAACATTGCTCGAAATCCCTGTTCTACAATAATGATATAAAATATCTGAAAAAGTAAAAACTTTCACCCAAACTGTCTTTTCTGCCACCTTATATCAGGACACCATGCTTACTTACCTCCTGCCTCTACTGAGCAGGCAAAGCCTCCTGGTTTGTCAGCATTTTGAAGTAACTACGACAACTTATCTTTAATAGTCTTGTCCACTCTGCCTGTGCTTGGCATACTACTTTATCACTTTGTTCCAGACAGGTAGAGCAGCACATCTCTCCTATCACTCACCTGTTCCAAATTTTTAGACAATGGCTTCATGTATTGAACTGCAATAGATTTTAAGCACTTCCATTATACTCCGAGACTACACACTGAGCTGATTACCCTCCCACATTGCATCTCACTGAAGCCTTTGCTCAGGAAGGAAGACATTAGTCTTTGTAAAGTCTGCAGGCACCATTTTTCTTGTCTGTAATAATGCTTAGAAACAGCTACTGATCAAATGGATTTGGCAGCTTCTGTACTCTGTCCATACTGACGGCTGGAGTTGCTGAATTTTATTTCATTCAACAGAAAGCAGCATTATTCATCTGGGTATCTACTCAACATCTCTGTTCAACATATACATATCTTATGGTGTCTTTAATGTAGTGGCAGCACCCAACTTCATTTACACATTTTCTGGGACAGTTTAAAAGCACAGTGCATAAATAATACTGAGCATGAGAAACTGATAGAATGTCTGAGGTGCAAGCTGCTGAAGATGCTGAATTACAAAGCGGTCAGAAGAAATTTAAATGACAATAGCTTTGCAAAAGAAGAATGACAGGAGGACCTGGCAGATACCGTTGCACAAGAAAGAGGATGGGCAGTTCCAGGTATAAAAGCAGCTGCAGAATCTGTGACACCTGGAGTAAAACACGATCCTGAATGAGAGGCTCAGGCATATCAAGAGACTGGGAGACATGCATGGAGATGTAGAAAGTAGTGCCAGAGGTGCTCCAGAACAGCATGTTTAGAAACAAGGACTAAAAAACCTCACTGCAGTGAAAACATCAACCAACTGCTCCTTTTATTTGTTAACACACTATTTCAAAACAAAGTAAACATGACTTTCTAGAAATATATTTGCTGTCATACAACAGTAGGTAAAAAAAATAGGTACCTTAATTGCAAAGTCTCAGAATGTAATTAGATGCCAGCGTGCTGTCCGGTACACTCGAAGCATGTATAACTATGCCAAAAAACATGGTAATTTCATAGCTTCCTGTTGGCTCTGATGCAAAGTGAGGAAATAAATTGCAATAAACAGTTTCCTTGGTAACTTTCCCAGCTGGAAACCAGCAACTTCAATTATAGATAAAATGTCACTACAAGTAAAGTACAGCAGTAGGTCTCAGCAGTACAATCTCAACAAAAAATTTGCAGGCAGGCAGAAGGATCAGTTCCACCTTAGATGCAATATCATGGTTTGGGATCAAACCAACTAATTTACATGGTTTTAATAATGTTATTTTTAGGCCTCTTTATTTCCTTAGGCCTGTGCTGTATTTTGGCTTTTTATAGAGTTTTTTATTAAAAAGTTTGTGTTCTATCACACACACCTCGTCATGGATATAAGAAGGCTGTATCCTCAGAAGAAAGGAGAATAACCTTAGTACAAAATGGTAACTCTGGGGAAAGTCCTCTTCTCTGGAGTAATGAGCCAGATGACCACATGATCTGAAAAGAAAGGGGGGAAAAAAAGAAAGCTCCCTAAATTACAAGTACATTTAGTTAGTATTTCTCTAGCATTTCTATATTCAATTTTAATGAGAGGAAAACTACATTTTACAAATAGCATAAATCACAATTCTGGTCTTCAAAATCAATTCTTTGGTGGCACCCACTCCTGCAAAACCCTGAAGGACAGGACCAGACCAAGACATGTTCAGGGACGGTGCAGACATGGTAAGAAGGAAAAAACTGTATAGCTTCTTGCACTGTGAATCAGTATCATAACCAATACAGTCTTTGTCTTTCAGGACTAAATTGAACCACTGTTCATCCTACCAGCTTTTAGCAAAAGTAGCAAAATGGTTCCATTACCCTATTTTTAAAATTTGTAAGACTATCCAATGCAGACACCCCAGGCTCTGTTCTCTACTCCTTGCCCACACTCTCTGTAGGGTCCTCTCTCCTCTTGCTGATGCTATGCCATGGGTTTATAACCCATCATTTCTTGTCCATTTCCTTTTTAGTCCTAAATATAAATTACCTGCCTAGAACAAGAAAGAAAAGCGAAGTTCACGTCAATGGAGTAACATAGGAAAACACTGGGGCAAACATTGACCAGGTCAACAGAAAGTAGTGCGTGCTATAGCAGTCCTCTGCTTAATTATTTCGTAGCTTTCATGGTGAAAATGTTAATGAAAATGATGAAGTGATTTTATTGATGGAGTATATAATGGTAATAGCAGACTGAACTTGCTGGTAGCAGGTGTCAGACTGAACAAATGATGCTACAGAAGACAGATTGCAGGGAGACCTCTGTAAATGTTAAGTTCAGCAACTTAGGTTGGAAAAAACATCCTGTTCTGGGTTAACCTCAATTTTTTGTTAAAAGTGGTAAGTTTAAAATAGTAAAAAATCCAGCTGCTTCAATTTTGTTTTAAAGTCTTTTACATTGATACAGGGAATCAGTTGTTACTCCCCATAAATTGTATGCATCTTCTAGCTTACTAGGTATTGTATCGCCCTGGGATGTGGAGAAGCAGGGTTTAAAATTTCCCCTCTGTCTGATTCAGAGCAGCGGTCTTAAATATTCACCAGAACAAGGACTGGAATCTCTCTGACCCAATTTACGAGCAAGTGTGCTAATTACCAGACTATAGAGTTATTTGCTCGCTCCCCCTGGCTCAACACGCATTTACATTTTACCTCAAACTGGAGGAAGAGACAGACCCATCCTGCAGTGCCATGTGAGCTGCACTTCGGGGAACAGAGTCTTTGTTTGAAGCCTCCTGAAGTCTGGCAGATTGGAAATCTGAAACTAGGTCTCTCATGCCGTACATCCCTACCTCACAATCCCTGAAAGCTGCCAGCGACTCATTACAGAAACAAAATGAAACGAGACATTTCAGCAGCACCAGAACAAACCAGCTGTCCCCACAACTCAATGCACTGGCTGAATTCAAGCTTCATCGAGAAATTTTGGGTTGAACCAAATCTGCTTTTTTTTGGCTAATATGAATTAAGATACTTTGCTATGCCCTAATCAACCCTGAGATTCAGAAATTACAGCTCTTATGGCAATTTAGGTGTCAAATCTCAGTTTTCACTGGCGGGCAGATTAGTGATATTGTGTATTCTGGGGCAAATGCATGATTACATTGACATTGTAAAGCGCTTATTAACTGGAGATACACTTTTCGCAAGAGTACCTAAGCCTTTTTGCCCCATTTGGTGCTATTTTTGTGCTATTTACACTAAAAGCATCTCTGAAGAACTAAAAAAAAAAAAAAAAAAAAAAAGAATCCTGGTGATTTTAAATTTAGATGTACTAAAGGAAATCCATTTTTCTTAACATTTTTTACACACTGTAATACCTAATCATATATAGACTCATAATTCAGGTTGGAAAAGACCTTTAAGATCAAGTCCAACCATAAAACTCCTATCACCTGAAGACTTCTACACCACATCAATTTAGAATCCAGTCCAGCTTTAGCTGAAAGTTTTAAAATAAAAGAAAATGTAAAAGCATTTCACCAACCATATTTCACTGATCTCAGGTTTGCCCACACTGAAATCATACTTTAGCCCCAGGATTAAAGCATTTCAGTAGTCCCAGTTAGACCATGATGATTTTTAGAGACAGAGAATTTGTAAGTTTTGTTTTCAGTTCTATTATACATATACACACTTGCATACAATAAACCCTCATATTTAAGGGAGTAGATGTTGTTTTCCAAAGTTAAGTAAGTGTCAGATGTATAATTAACTACTTGCATTGCAAATGATATAATGGGAAATTTAACCGGTAAGAATTTTAATTCAAATCTTGTTTCATGAAGGCTATGACAGTTTGCCATTAACATTTTAATATATTACATATGAAAATGTAGGCTTAAAAACAGACTTTGCATGAAAGATTATTCACACAAACATACACCGAAATATCCACTCATTCAGTGTGTGCATAAGATTTACGCAAATTTGTGGTAAAAGGATTATTACCTCTCCTCCCTTCAAAAAAAAAAAAAAGTTCTTATTCATACAAAAGAATGAGTCCATACAACCAAAGCTCTTGTAATATAACACTGTGCTTACATTATTCCAACCCATTTCTGTCACGGTGGATATGTGAAAGGTAATGTGAAAAGGAAAATAAAGATAAGCAAATAAATCCACTGAAAGACAGAAAAGACTGCATAAATGTAAAGCGAGTTATTTTCAAGGGGCATATTTAATGTTTCAAAAATCACAAACGTACTGCTAAGACTCTGTAGAGGCTACTGCTCTCTTGAGCATGCCATTCAGAAGTATAAACAGATAAAGATTTAAGATGTTGTTCAATGCACTAATGAAATCTCATTTCACACTAATGTGACTTGACCTCCTTTCCAGAAAAAACCCTCCAAATGCATACATGAGAAATTCAGGAGAATCCAAGCCAAGTTCATATCTTTCACCTCAACGGTACATTCCTCATCTGGATTACAGTTTCGTGATACAACCAGTGGCACAACCAAAATCTGGTGCATGACCCAGAAGCCATATCTACATTACCCAGGGAGTTCAGATACTTCCTATTCCTTGGAGTAAACGCTGCTGAACTCCTACGGTCACTCAGCAGGGCTTTTACCCTCTGTCTCTGGCCATGGTCATAGAATCACAGAACAGTTTGGGTTGGAAGGGACCTTAAAGATCATCTAGTTCCAATCCCCAGCCATGGGCAAGGACACCTTCCACTAGACCAGGTTGCTCAAAGCCCTGTCCAACCTGGCCTTGAACACTGCCAGGGATGGTCCTCTGCCAGCACCCACCAAGTAGAAAACTCACCAATTTTTGCAGATTTATCACAAGAGGAGAAAGTATTAAAGGAAGAACAAGAAGTTCAACACAAACCAGACAGATACTTAAACATCCATCTAACTTTGTACAAGGCTGGATTAGCAGGGATATCATTCTCCTTTAAAGAAAACAATTTTAGTAACAAATAGAATTACTATTTTGATATAACCTTAATCGAAAAAAAAATCCCTTTCACTTGCGAAGGCAGGATTTGGGAACAGTTCTCTACTAAAGACAAACACTAAACTTCCTTAATAGCACAAAATGGTTTATTTTTCCCATGTTTCTTCTTTTACTTTTCCAGTGAAAGAAATTTTATCTTTTACTTTTGTGCTTCCAAAAAGTACAACTGTTGATTGCTGCTATGCTTAGATGAAATAGTGGTAAAGTCCTCACTTGCAATTACTTTTTAAAAAAGTATTCTGGAGACATTAATTGCTTATTTGAACTTTCATTTTGATTAAGGCCACCACAACAGCAGCATAGTGATTTAGAAAATTAGCTTCCTATGCCTTTTTGGGGACCAGGGAGGAGAGGAATGGAGCTGTTTTCCCATTCCCTGGAGGGTTGTGGCGCAAGTTTTGCCTAAAATACTATCAAGAAGGAAGCAAAGTGAGTACTTGTATCTAGCTGCTACTCTCGCCATGTGACTCTTGTTGCTGGCTTTGTCTCATGTCTCTTATCAAAAGCTCACTTTGATCACTCTTCACATTACAATTTGTCTACTACCAATCCAAGACTAACCATTCCACACACAACCCTTTCTACGAATGACTTTAACTATATATGAATACATACATAGCTGTGTACACACCCCGTATTTGTCATTTGTAAAAAATACATACATGCCACTTTATTTGCAGGAGAACTTTCCAAAGTGTATTTAACAAAAATCTGAATACTTACTTCTCAGTGCATAGTTTAACTGTACACTGCCAATAGTCAGGGTTCATGGGTTTAAGTAAACCACATTTTTCTTGCAAAACTCCCTTCAGGCTATGCCCGTGAAAACAACTCCCATCTGTGTTTTCTTCTGACCAACTTAACTGAAAACTTGAAGGATTTGGCTTTTCAGCAGGTCGCAGGGAACCAGACAGCTTGCCAAACTGATTTTGTAAGTTCACAACCATTTCTGTACAAATAGAAACAAAAGAAAAAAACAACTCACCAAGGCAAAAGTATTAAGTGTTAGAATACTGCTGAGATGCGATTAATACACTAAAACAGGGTATTCGTGCCTTTTTTCCTTTTGATTTCTTTTTTCTTTAGACCTCTGTGTGGAATACTGAGAAACCTTGAAGGGCTGTATATTCTTTCCCCATTCTATTTAAAATTCACCTCTGTCACATGTTTTAGCAAAAGATAGTGGAAGAGGATTCAAAATGCCATGTCTTTCATACATAATGATTTTAATACTGGGGCACTCCAAAAGCATTCCCCCAATTAAGACCTGTAAAATCTAATTGATACTGCTGGTATTTTTATGCTGATAGGCACCAGGATGCCTTTTGCTATATTTCCTTGATTGTATGCTGTCTCTCAGACTGACTAAGGTTGTTTGAGTAGTTTTCTGTGTATCAGAATTAAGGAAGCCTGGTTTCATACACATACAGATTTAAGGTTAAACTTTTCATAGTGCAATTTTTTACTGGGAAAAAAAACCCAAAACGAACAAACAAAACACAAAACCCCAACCAATCAAAAAAACAAAATGAAAAACCCCCAACCAACCAAAATCCCAAAACCAACACACCCCACTACACCTTTCCCTGCTGCTAGTGAAAGAGTGACAAACTTTCCTAAGTCACTGAGGCTAAGAAGGGAAAGAAGTTATGATGATAGATCAGCACATACAGTATGACTGCCTAAGCCTTGTTTCCCTAAGATAAAAAGCAGGTTAAAAACCACTGTTATTGGAACTTCATCTTCGTTTTATGACTTGTATCTGAATAAACTCATTGATAAACTGGAAAAATAAAAAAGGCAGAAAAGACATCCTAAATTATTCCAAGGACTTGTAAGCTTACCTTTTAAGAGGATACTAAAATCTACCATCAAAAACAAAGGCTGAGGAATGTTTCTGAAAACCTGTATCTGGCACGTGAGTGTTCTTTCTAAAGCACTCTTCGTTTCTATTATCTGAAATTTGTTTTAAGATGAATCTTGCCCATTTACAATGACAATATGTGATATTCCTGCTCACAAAAACCAGTAGTAAAACTCCATAATCTAAATGATCCTCTTCTAGCCTGAAGAGAAGCAGAGCCAGAAAAGGAATCTAGAGTGGCACAGAAATGGGGAACAATGAATCATTTTTCACTTTTTCTTATAAATGCAGGAATTAAAGGGCATCTGAGTAAATTATCAGCTTGAAATAAACAAACCTAAAGACATTTTACCATGGAACATGACTTGAACTTGACACCCGCCAAATTTTGAAGATTAAGAATATTCAAAAAACCCAACTGTATCCTTGAAAGAAAAATCCAACATGAGTTATTCAAACCAAATAGGATTATACAACTTATTTAGAAGTCCCTTAGCAAATCACTTCCAGAAAATGGAAGAGTATAAAGGGATAAAGGGGAAAATATCATTTGCCGCACTTAACGTATCTCCCCAGATAGCTGCTGCTTACTAGATACTGTTAAATATAGAATGAAGAACTCCGGAACTGATTTGGTTGAGTAAAATTCTGGTTTTCCATATTTCCACAGATAAGCAGGGGTTTGGTCATTTTTTCTGCTTGTTTTTATGTCAGAGTAAACCCCAGTAATTTCTCCCAAGTACTTCTAGAGCTACTAAAATAAAGTAGATGTACTTGCATCCTGACCACATATCGCTAGCTATTCAAGTAAAGTCATGTCCAGACAAGTCTTCCTCACTTTCTATAGAAGACTGCAAGAAGGAGAAGAAGAGGGACATGCAAGGTCTAGCAAAGGACATACTGGGATATCCATAATAATGGATATGAGAAAGTAAGGGAGAAAAGGGACAGGAAAGCTCCAGAATAGCAATAACAATTCACAAAGCTCACAGCTATAAAAGGGCAGCTGACAAACCAGTGAAGGTGGGGACAGACTACTCATTTTGAGATGTGGTTCAGTAGGTCATTAGGAAGACTGGCAAAGGCAGTTTCAGTTAGGCATGAGGAAAAAGTCTCTTTGAAGAATTCCAGCCACAGGTTGTAAACAGTAGTACAGTAATTGTACCCAGAGATGAAAGAGAGAAGAGAAAGTATTTTAAGATGTAAATGTTATCAGTCAGGGCTGCAGATTTTCTGTGGTGGGAAAAGTTAGAGCATATTTCTGCATTGCTGGGAAGAAGCAAAATTTACTCACGTCTTCTCTTAAGAACTTTAGATTTTTTCTTGGCTGAATAAAACAGTGGCTTTTCACATCTCCACAAATACCTACCAGTAAGAGACATTAAGAATTGTTAAGAAAGAAAGCGGAGCAAATAAGTAAAAGAATAGCAATTTCTTACAAATACTGCTAGAGCTATTAAATTGAAATCAAAATAATCTAATGGTTAGTGCTATTAAAAGCTGCTGCCCCCCAACACATCTAGAAAGTCTTTTTTTCAGAGTAGACAAACTGAGTGTTCAGCTGCATAAGCTACTTGTCACAGAAAGTGAGCATTTAATTAATATGCTGAATAAACACCATGAGTGTAAATAGAAATTTAAGATAGGGATTAATCACTCTATTCACCCAAGCTTGGTGGATGAGAATGTGGAGCAAAGTCCTAACCTTTTTAATTTCTGTGGGGGTCAGGATTTAATGTAGAACTGTCTACCTTAAAAAAGAAAAAGTACTTAAAAACCTCTTACTTGGCTCTTTCTTCATCTAATTTCTTTTGCTTCGCATCCAAGGAACATTTTATCACCTTGTACCACTTTTTGAACTCAAAATATGGGACACCTGAATAAAACATACACATTTTATGTTGGGAGGAAGTGAAAGAAATGTGTAGTTCGCAGAAGGTGGTCTCCACGCAGTTAGACTGTGTGCTTTCTGCCTGTTAACAAACCTATCCTGGATTTGATGTGCTCAAACAAAACATACTTGATCTAACAATTCTGTAAGAAAGAAATGCAGCAAAAGAACAACTTGTCATGAGAAGTTCAAAGAAGCCCCTTAGCTTAGAATAGGTGTCATAGATTTAGTGTAATTAAAGCCTTTTCCCTCCTTTCTGAAAATTAAGCCTAGAAACTACCTCATTTCTACCAAATGAACGAGATCTCCACAGTATGAAGTTGCCTTCACCTGTTTGAAAGCTGACTTCAAGTGATCAATGAAACTATACATCAAACTTAGGCTTAAAGAAATAAGATCTAAACAAGCTCAGATGTAAAATTTCCAACATATCTCCCCACTGTTTCTTCTACTACCTGTGACACCATACAGGGCTGGAAAGATAAACTGAACAACTGTATTCACTTTGTGTCAGCCTCCCATGTTTTTGAGCACAGGAAAGTCACCCATTGATAGGTGAACCAACATTCGCCAGCACATGCAAAACCATTAAGGCATATGGTATTCTAGCAGCACACTTATCCTCAATGCTCCGAAGAGGCACAGGGCTGAAGTAAACCAACTGGATACAGCACCAAGAATTCCAAATAGAACTACGGTGTAGATTTATATATTTAAAATATAATCAACTCTTATTACCTGTGGGTGGATTATGTGCATTGTGAATTAACTGGGTTTTGCATTTCCCCATCACCCCAGCTGCAGTGCATGTGATGCTTGCATCACGCTTAGCTTTGCCAGCTAGCTGTTTGAACTGTTTTAAAGGTGAATATACTGTTCTTATAATCAAGCTTATAGATGTTTTGTATTGTCTGCATTTTTGCTATTTGGGTTATCCTGCCAAAGGTTGTCTAAGATGCTAGAAATTTAGATGAACTCAAAAAACAACAGACAAATGAAGGGAGGAAAGACCCTTAAGTAGTTCTTAAAATTCAAAGGTGTGGATGCAACTTCTTTTATGAACTCCCTAAACCCAGAGGTTACAGTAAGTACTCCTAAAGTGCTGGGAGTGCAATTTGGGGGGTGGTGAAAATTTTTATTAAAATTCATATGAATTATTAAGCATCTGTTTCAAACAAAACCATTATCAGAGACATCATGCTACACTATAACAAGTGTTTGCCTAGCCAGTATTGCTAATCTGATGTTCATAGAGCTGAGTGGAAATCGGACAGCTCTGTGATACACACATACTTATATGCATCTCAATCACGTTTTAGTTGAACATAAATTGTATTGTGTATGCGTGGAGTTCATAGAACATACACAAACTCACTGGGTAACTACAACTATCTACTGCACAGCTTCCAGCCTGTCTTGAGAAACTGTAGGAGCTGAAATACAATTTTTTTAATTAAAAAAAAAAAAAAAAAGACTAGGGAAAGGATAGTTAAATTGAGAATGGAGCCAACACAAATTGGATCTTTAAAACTCGGTGTTAACAATTATTCGTTTCGGCATGCTAACTTTAGGAAAATGCCAGAGGCAGTTTTGAGCTCCGGCGCTAACCACAGCTCTAACAGAAATTCTCACCTCAGCTCCTCTGTGCAGCTGCTCACTATCACCCCAACATTTTAAGGATAGGGGCAACATAACAAGGCATATGGATCATTTTGCACCAGCCGACTTTAAAGTAAAAAAGTGGGCAAAGACTGAGCTGTTAATTCCCAAAGGCAATGAGACTTGTTATTAAAGGAGAAACCCCATTAAGACATTAATGGCTCTGAGCCTCAGCTTGTAAGTGGTTGCACAACTTCTGCTCGTGTCACTATTACGTACTTCAAGTTTTCAAGGTAAATGGGGGGGGGGGGAAGGAACAAAACCAAATTAAGTTTGTGTATCCACTAGAAAATGAGAATTACTGGTTTTAGTTAACAGTGATGCCTATCTCTAGATACAGCAGTAATTGCGCTCACGCATGGCTAACACCGCTTTTATGATTGACTTAAATTTTTAAAAGTAACAGAAGGGTCAAAATGGACCCAAACCTGGATGGAAGACTTTTAAAAGATAAACCACTGTAACACGTCTTTAACCTTATCTTCGGCTGTGATCTGGATCAGGCCATGGAACATCTTCCTGAGGATTTCTAATCTTTGATTTGGTCTTTCTGCCCTCCAAGAACCATGTTCACGCCATTATCTTCTCTATCTTAATTGCTGCTAGCTTTTCCACACTCTCTCAGGATTATTTGGACTAAGAAAATAGATTACATCTGAAATATGTTACACACTAAGACATTTTATTTAACAAGACTAAACAGGTTTGGATTTTATCATAAACATGGTTTGATGCCCCTAATAAGTATCTGCTATTTACGATCAAAGTGTGCTCCCTCTTTACTGCATATCCATTCATCTTCATCTAGCACGCATAAAATTCTAAAACAAGAGGCACACATGCACAAGGAGAAGCAGAAAGGCACCAAGCAAAATGTGTACCAAATGCCCCTATCAGTAGAACAAGAATTATGCAGGTAAACTGGGGTGATTTTACATGAACAGGATCTACCGTTTTCTTTGAATAAAGATTTGCCCTAAAAGAATAAATGACAAAAACACATTTTAATGATCAATAAGACAACTCTTTCTAAGCCTGATTACAAATTTATTTCATTTACAAAATCATAAGACTGCTTCTATTAGAATATTTATGTACCTTCTTCGCTATTTTTATTTCTTTCTCCAGCAAAGTCTGAAAGCAACCTGGAAAAAAAAAAAAATCACATCCAAATACTGCACTTTTCACATGAAGTTCAAATACAACCGACAAAAATCACATCCTAATTTTATTCCAAGTTTCAGATTCAAACTGATGATTTTCAAAAATAAGTGATATTTAATGTCTAAAATGCCTTCAGGTGTATGTTTTATGCTACTGAACTTAATGGAAATTCAAATACTGTAAACTTAATATTACCAAATAAATTAATATTACTAAATAATACTACTAAAGAATGATCCAAGACAATCATTTGCACTATTTGAAATCTGGGCTTTGCTATGGATTTGCCTGCACACTTACCATTCATACTTATCATCTAATAAAAACAATAATTTGAGCACAACTACAATAACTGCTGCAGCAAGAACATCGTATTTCACTTTTCTTGTTGACCTATTTCCAGGCACAAGAGTCAGGAAATCCGCATCTCCAATACCGATCTTTTTCACCACTCGACAAGTCCAATTATGCAATTCATCTGATTCACGTAAATAAAAACACAAAATTAGTAAGTTGAGACAAGCTAGAAATACTTTTACAAGTGCAAATATGTTGGTCATGTGAGGAAAAGAATGCTTAGGTCTTTTAGGACAGCATTAGACAGCATTTTTTTAGGCTGAGAAGTATTTTGGGTATTTTTAAAAATACTAGCCAACCTTCATTATGTTTGCATGGAAAACAGACAATTTATCATATAGTCACATGGAGGGGGGAAAAATATCAAATTTTTAATAGTGCTTTGATGTTACTTGAATGATGTTGTTTGTTAGACCATCATGAACATTCTTAGGGGGAAGCATATCTTAAGCTGCATAAATATAGTTTCAAAAAATACACAAAAGCCAGAAACCTTTTCCTGCATGTTGACCACTCACGTAAAGATGGATTCAGTAGTGCAAAGAGGAACAGGGGCTAGTTTGAAGGAAGCTAGTTGAGTATGAACAGCAGCCTCATCATGGCAGGGCAGCACTTGCTGTTACCCCAACAAAACCTGGCTGAGGTACAAGTAGTCCCAGCCTAGGTTAAAGCTGGTTTTACACTGTAGAGCCTCATCGCACCCACTGGTGTGGGTTATGTCAAAAATACACAAATACAGCTCCAAAAGCAGCAGTAAGGTGTCTATACAGTCTCTTATTACTCTATGCTTATTTTTCACAGATACAAATCCCCCAAATTTCTCACCTTTCCTGTTCAGCAAGAAATACAGGAGTTGATTACATCACCATCAGATTCCACAAAGGTTAGCAATGTATGACTAAGTACAACCTTAATCCAGCTATACTTTATACTCTCTTACTGCTTACAGAGAGTTCAGTAGGCACACATTTTTAATCCTTTTGTACATAACAGTAAAAGCTGAACAAAATCTGGAAACTAATTTTTCTTATAAACACTGTCAGTACGTTTTCTTTCATTTCAGATACGTAAAATGGCCTTTTCATTAGTACTTATTGTCCTAAAAAACACTGCCAATTTATGGCTTGCTTTATTTTTTTAGGAGTTGCTAGACACCAACAATAGTCCTTTTTCAATTTGTAAAAAAAAAAAAAAAAAACATAAAATGCTCCTTCATGATAAAAAGCTTAGGTGCAAGGAAAAAGTAAAGGACAATATATTCTTCTACAATAATTTTCCAATAGTACCGAGCTTGGGATTTTTCTGTAATAAATCTGAAAATGCAAATTTCCTAGCCTTTTCCTTGATTCAACTGATACTTCAAAATCTGGAAAATAATGTGATCTTCTATATGATAGGACCACTGGTGTAAAACTTCAAAATCAGAATTTCTGGTATGGAATTTTAGCGCTAAATCTGTTGGTTATCTTCTCTTCATTCAGCTGTAAGTAAACAGAAAAGCCAAGTAGCTTTACTCAACATAACTAACTGAAAAATAAGACAATACCTCCCCCCCAAGACTACTAATTTTTGGAATGCTTTCGAGGGGTAAAAAGTAATGTCAACTTAAAAGCTATTTTTCTGTATAACTCATCTTCAGTGACAGTGGTATTTGAAGTATGGTAGCTCAACAGACAGTTCACATACTAAGACTGACTGGTCTTCCTTTGGCAATTCAACATTCAAGACAATTTCAGGATAAACAGAACAGTTCAATATTTATGCAATATATGATTTCAAAACTAAATCAGAAATCAAGTGAGAACACAGCTTATCTGTCACACAGCATCACTTGTTAATGTTTAAATGAATGCTAATATGCAATATTATAGAATATACAGTCAATATTGTATATCACACAATTCCAGTACTAAGCAATCAGGTCCCAACTTCATGAATCATTTAGCTACAGTTAATAAATCACATGAATTCAACTAGTGCCTCTTAGTTTACATGGATACTAACAGATTTGAAAGGAAGTATCCACTCCACAGCCTTGGAGAGCCTGCACCGGAGTGCCCTGCGTATCTGAGCCTATAATACGTACTCTAAATGTTTGATGAAGGTGCTTTCTACAGAAATTATCTTTCAGTTCAAGCTTAAATAGGTATAAATTAGAAGGAAAAGAGCAGGCACTTTTAAAGTAGTAATTCAAGTCTTTTTGCCAGAGTTTAATAAACCAAAGAAAAATTTTATCAGTTCGGGTTTGGGAAAATATTTACCAGGTAAATTAGCTTCCATCAAGTACTTCATGCACAACATGTCTGGATGAAGAAAGCAGCTGTCTGTTATATCTGGAAAACGAGGCAGTTCTAAAAACACTGCAAGTTCAAGCATTTTGTTGTATACTTCTTCATATGCAGGCCATGACTGAAAGAAAGGGTTAGAGGATGTTATACATTTGCTTTATTATCATAGTTGTTAATGATTTTAAATTATTATTAAGTTATTGATGATACAGACTCTTTTAGCACTCTATGATTACGCACTCATGCAGGAACAGAGCAAGACTGCAGTACTGCAAAAGCAAAACGTGCTAGTTTTAAAGCCCAGGAAATAATAAGGAACAAACAGGAAGTTGCTTCAGACCTGCAACCAACCCATTATTATTTTTTTTTTGTGAAGAGATCAGTATGTCTCCAGACACTCCAAAATTGAAAAAGCATTGGAAAAAAAAAAACAAAAAACAAAGATAAAACCCAAGAGCAATCGGGGGTGAACTCTCTAAAGAGCTCAGAGATCACAGAACCACAGAAGGGTGGAGCTGGTAGGGACTGCTGGAGATCATCGAGTCCAAGCCCCTGCTTGGGTCAGCTAAAGCAGGCTGCCCAGGACCATGTCCAGTCGGATTTTGATACCTCCATGGATGGTAGCTCCACAAGGTCTATAGAAAATCTGCTCCAGTGTTTCACCACCCCCACTGTACAAAAGAAAAAAGGTTTTGTTTTTCCTTATGTTTAAATGGATCTTGTATTTCAGTTTGTGCCCACTTCCTCTCATCCTGTCACTGGATACCACTAAGGGGGATCTGGTTTTCCTCGTTTGCACTCTCCTGTAGGTATCACATAGTACCCCACATGAATCTTCTCCACCTCCAGGCTGAACAGTCCCAGCTCTCTCAGCCTCCCCTCATTTATCAGATGCTCCACTCCATCATCTTCACAGCCTTTTACTGGACTCAGTCCACTATGTCCATGTCTCCACTGTACTGGGGAGCCCAGAAGAGGACCCAGCACTCCAGATGTGCCTCACCAGAGCTGTGTAGAGAGCATCACGTCCTTTGGGCCACTAATCATCTGCCTAATGCAGCCCAGGATGATGCTGGTGGTCTTTGTCACAAGAGCACACTGCTGGCCCATGATGCATTTTCACAGCATTTTGTCCACCAGAATTCCCAGGGTCTTCTCTGAAAAGCTGTTTTCCAGCCAGTCAGACCCCCGGCATGTGCTGGTGTCTGTGGTTATTCCGCAATGCATTGTTATGTATTCATTTATCATATTTATCAACAAGAATGCGATCAATAGAAGGCTGACAGGCCTTTAGTGCCCCAGATCCTCCTTGCTGCCCTTCTTGAAGACAGGAATGATGTTTGCTTTCTTCCAGTCCTCAAGACACTCCCCCAGTCACCATGACTTTTCAAGTTATTGACAGTAGCCTTGTGATGACACCAGCCAGCTCCCTCAGCACTTGTTGCAGCATCCCACCGTGGCCCATGAACCTCCATACATCCCGTTAGGGTGTATATTCCATAACCTGCCCCTTCTCCACCACGGGTAACTCTGCCTTTCCCTAGACTTTCCTATCAGTTTCAAGGACCTGGGATTGCTGACGGCTGCTCTTATCAAAGACTAGGACAGAAAACTCATTCATCACCTTAGCCTTCTCCTCGGTCATTGTGACTATGTCCCCATTCCCATTCAGCAGCAGGACCATACTCTCTAGAACCTTTCACGTTTGAACATTTATTCATGACAATAAATCTGTGATTCTCTTTTCAAAACTATTGACTGCATGAAGAAAGTTCTCCCAATTTCTACTGAGGTTTTCCTGCTAGAGGAGAACATAATTTACAGACAGATTTTGACATGCTTATTCATAATGAACTCAGCAGGACCTGCAGTTTGCGTAAGTATGGACTGTAAGATTTGAGCCTCATTTCTTAATGCCTAAACTGTTTTATTAAACATTCTTAATTCTCTGTATTTTATATTATTACTTCATTTATAGGGGTAATTTTCAGTTGTTCAGGCTATTTCACCATTTTCAATGCTTTTTCTGCTCTAGTTGGTGGTTCTAATTCAGCAGAGCACTTTATCATGCATTCATATTTTATCAAGTCAGTTTGTGCATAAGGCACTTCGCTTTAATAGGATTTTAGCAGGGGTTTACACTTTGTACACAGGTTCAAAACTTTCCTGAACAAGACTGAATTCAGGCTTCTGTTTGGTTGGTTGTTTTTTTTTTTTTTCCCTAGACCTGATTAAAACCAGAACAATCATGTTTACAACAACAAGAGGACTGAAATAACGTGGCTTTATTCAAACATTTGGTTTCATCTACTTTAACATAAGCTGTGTAGCCAATGCTCAAGTTTTATTGTTTTGAATGATTCCCAGCATTTCCTTTTCTTTTTTTAAATGATCTCCCCTCAGACTGCAGTTCAGACTTGCTTAACTGTGTGAACACATGCTTAAGCAAATGAATAATTCTGCTGTCACTTACTTATGATTACACATGCAACTTCTTGTAACAGTTAGGAAGTTGTATCATGTTCATTATATGTTGTTCTAAACAGTGTTAAAAATTGGCTCAGACTGCTGCAGGACTATCTTGAGAAACAAGAAAAACACGCATTACCAGACTTCTACAGAAGACCAGGCTCACAGTACTTTCCATTCCTCTTAAAAAGCAGTGCTAAATTGAATAACAAAATCTTGGAACAAAACCTGAATCATATGTAACTTCTCTTGAGCACATTTGGAGAAAAATTGAAGTCCCAGATAATTCAAACAAAAGCATTACATAAACACTATTCCTAATTAGATATAAAGGAAATATGTTTTTCCCTTTAATGAAAAGCAGTTGAATTAGTAGCTTCTTAATAATATATCACAGATGAAAATAAATTAAGACACTGGGAATTCAGTCATTTTAAGCATTCCCATCCTCAAATGTTAAACTATCACCAGTGAAGTTATCTGAACAATCTAATTTAGCACAGAGTTACTTTAAGGAATATAGCTCTTAATTGGAGAACTCACAGTAGACACCTATATCACCTTCTACCTGAGCTTCTCTCTCTGTCAGGGTAGGTAGACAGCTTTCTTATCATAGGCACTAGTGAATCATCCTTTCTTCCTCATGCCCAGCACTGACTGTTGTTTCAAAGCTTTGGTTTGGAATTTAGATAAGGCAAATACAGTTCTTTTTCAAAATAGCTAGAAAATGCTTCTGCTTTAAAATGACAACTGATGTCCTTTTTTTATATAGAATCATAGAATGGTTTGGGTTGGAAGGGACCTTAAAAGCTCATCTAGTTCCAACTCCCCTGCCATGGACAGGGACACCTTCCACTAGACCAGGTTGCTCAAAGCCCTGTCCAACCTGGCCTTGAACACTGCCAGGGATGGGGCAGCCAGAGCCTCTCTTTTTGAAGAGCAAACACAAGTGGTGTAAAAACTGCAAATAAAATACCAAGAGCTATCACTTGGCTTATTTTAAAAAAAGTGTTAACAGACAAAAACTGTTCTTCATGGATGTGTGTTTACACAAAGATGTAAACACTATTGGGATGTGCAGATCCAGGCAGGGGATACTAATCCACCATAAAGATCTACCAAATCAATTGCTACTTCCAGGGCTTACCTCCCTAAGCTCAAAAACATTCTCTATAGTACTCATGTTTCTACAACACAGCGCTGAGTCATGACGATGCAAGTTGAACCAAACACCACGCTTCCAGGACTATGCAGTAATCTCTTGAACTGTGAACTGCAAGCGTAAGCTGGATCCAGCACAAGATCACATCTCGGTCAGATACACCACGGCAAAGGGTGAAAGTTTAAGGACTGAGAAGACTTACTTCAATAATCAAGCACTGGTAATTTTCCCCAGTCACTACATAGCCTGTTCATACTCTAATTCTGAAAGAGCTCTGAGTTCACAGAGCAAATCTCTTACTCTGCGAAGTGTCACAGATACTGGGAGGGTTAAAACAGAAGAAAACCCAAATTCCACACAACCAGCACAGCACGTTAGGACAATGTTAAGAAAAAGCAAGATAGAGCAAACAAGCAACCTCAGAATTAATAAAAAATACCACCTTCCACCTAGCTCTGTATCTCTGCCAAAAGAAAAGAACCTGATAAAACAAGTTGCACTGAAAGTCAACCAGCAAATCAACTAGGAAAGCCAGATCCAGAGCTGTGGCCTCCTTCCTTCAGGTGAAAAAACTCTGCCTCCAGCACCCCATGATTAAACCCCAAGGGAGGAGTACTTAGACAAGAGAGGACAGTGTTAGATCATACGCCACATGCTCTCCAAGCACAACTTTCACTCATCCAATCATAAATCAAAAAATTCAAGTTGTATTTCTGTGCTAAATATTAGGACAACTCCCCTGTCCATCAGCACATAGTGTTACTGAGCTCTCACCTTGTTTCGAGAACCTGGGAAACACTCTACGTATAAAACTCAGTTACAAACCCTTGAGGGCACTTAATAATTTCAGGAAGACTGACAGACAATCCTTTTAAAGTTATGCCACCTGCTAGTCTTTTCAGATGTTTCGCAAGCTGGGACTTCTTCAAGCCTGATCAACAACACTGACAGAGTCTATAACTTTTCTAGATTGGGTACAGAGGTTACCGAGAACTTTTCTTAACAGCTTTGTCTTTAAAACCTTTCTATCTTATTCCCACATGTGACAAATAAGGTAGCTGCAGGTCTTCTCCAGAAAGCTGTACAGAAGAGTCATACTACTTGAGAACACTTTTTTCTTTTCTTCCCTTCCTCACCCCCACCAACTTCAACTGAACGTACAAGGACAAAATACACACTGTTGAGTTGGTGAAGAAGCGTCTAGAACAAGATTTTCATTATGATAAATATTCATTAGACTATTTAAATTGGTTGCCTTTATCTTTCAAAGTTACATGGCATTTTTCACCTGTATTAGAAAAGAACAAGCTGGTTTTCAGAAGCAGATGAGCCAGACTATTAGCATGATAATCAGATCAGAGTAACAGGTAATTGTTCTAGGTAAGCCACGATTGCAGCCTCTCCTACTTGTTTGGACAATATCAGAATGTTGCTGGTCAACAAGTAGAAAACACTATGCACTGGATGGCTGTCTAGATTAATTTGCAGGC